TTTCGGAAAAGGGCTGAAGGGCAGGATTTCAGTCCCAGCCTGAGCCCAAGCCTGTGCTGCCCTCTACCAGGCCCAGCCTCGTCTGCTCTCGGCTTAAGTGGGAACACAGGCTAGGATATGGGAGCAACAGCCCCCCAGCCCTGGAAATGGGGTGTCAGATGGCCAACTGGACTGCATATTCTATTGTCCGTTAGTCATTTTTATTTCTTCATTAAAGCTTCCATCCTTTTACTATGTAAACAGCATCATGCTTAGGAAAAGAGCTAAGGAGGTGGAAGGGTATGGGGACAGAAGTCTTAAATACATTACCTAATGTCACCAATTTCAGCCTAAGAGAGAAGTGACCCCTATCCTCTTTATACACTGGAGAAATTCCTGGCTCTGATCTCCCAGCTCCCTTGGTCTTCTCTCCACCCTGCCCCCCACCCCGTCCCCTCACAGAGAAGCCGGTCTCTGGCATTGGCAATAGTTAGAGACAAAGAAGCAGTGAGAGGAAAGGAAGAGAAACCAGGCTGCCTCAGAGTAAGGGGACCCCATCCCACCTCACAGGCTGGCAGGACACCACCTGCTGGGAGTGGGGGCGGAGTGGGGGAGGGCGACTCTCCCTTCCAGGACCTCTGAGCTTCCTAGTTCAAGTCCAAGGACCTGGTGTCATTATCAGGGGGACCAGGCCAGGAGGAAACCTCCCCCAGCTGACCTGGTTGACCTTCTTCCAGAAGCTGGCCAAATTCTTTGCATGGCCTTGTCCCCAAGGTGTCATCAATAACAGTAGCAGTGGCCACAGCAGCAGCAGCAGCAAAGGAGATTATGCATGGAAGGTTGGCTAGGTGTCTGCACTGAGCTCCCACATTTTTCATTATCTTTTGAAGTCCCCACAAACCTCAGGAGATTTTAATAACCCCATTTTACAGATGAGACGACTGAGGCTCAGAGAAGTTAAGTGACTTCCCTAAGTCATATAGTTACTAAGTGACAGTGTCAGGACTCAAACAAGGTCTCACTGACTCCAGAGGGTGAACGAAGCTGGACTGCCTCATCCCTTCCCCCGCCACGCCCGCTCACTCCCAAACCCAAGGCCTCACAGGGCAGCATCTTCTACGCTCTGCAACCCTTCTGACCTCTTCTTCCTCACGCTCAGTTCTGCCCCAGCTCCTGGCCCACCTTTGCAGAGCTGGGGAGGGAGCAGGATGGTTCTACTGCTGGGGTGGAAGGGCCCGTGCACCCTGGCGCGTGGGAAGGGGCCTGAGCTCAGCTTGGCACACTGACTGGCTTGGCCTGGCCAGCAGGCATCACTCACATGTCAGAGTTGCCATGGTCACTTTTGTTAGTCGAGATGACTGCATTTGAGAGGGAAGAGGAGAGAAGGAGGGGCCCAGGCCCAAGAGGACAGAGTGGGTGATCAGGGACCATAACCTCCTAGGGGCACAGGTGAGCGGAGATTTGTGGCTCAGGCTGACACACCAGGCTCTGTAGGTGCCCTCAGTACCCACCTGCCCTGGGAGGTTCTCTCCCCACCTCTCCACTGCTGCCTGCTCTGACCCCACCATGCCTGGGGAACCAGGGACCACCTCCTTCACCTCCCAGGAGCCCAGGCTCTGGAATCAAAGGAACCTGGGTTTGAATCCTGGGACCCTAAGCAAGTTACTTTATCTCTCTGGGTCTCAGGTCCCTTAACTCCAAACTGACAGAACCTTGTGATAAAGGAGCTAAAGAAAGAATGTTTAATAGTAGTAACATTAATGTTTATTCAGCACCCACTGTGTGCCAGGATGTTTCATGTATTATCTCACTAAATCCTCAAAACCGCCCTAGGAGTTCAGTGCTATTATCATCGCCCCTATTTTATAGGCAAGGAGACTGAGGCTTAGGGGAAATAATTTGCCAAAGCTGACAAGCCACAGAGCTGGGATAGGCCTCCAGGGTCTGTGCTCTCAGCTACCTCCATGTGTGATGTGCAGCTGGCTTGAGTGTTTGAGCCCTCAGATCCTCTGGCTTGCTTCCTATTCCACTTTGCAGAGGGGCTGCAAGAGTCCCTGGTAGCAATGGGGAATGCTGACCTCAGGGGTTGGCACGCTGCCCAGGATCCCCTTCCTAGGCCTTTTTGAGCCAGTGACACACTTCTTCTGGTCACCTCCCTGAAAGGCTCTTCTTCCTTCCCCAGGGCTGAGGCTGGGGATCTGCTATGGTGTGGGCATGTCCCCGGGTGACACAAGTGAGGACAGCAGATGTCAGGAGGATCCTGTGTACTGGGGTGCATATGTTTTGAATCTTCTCCCATCTTAATTGATCCAGGAAGGACCTGAGGTTCCACTGGGTCAACAGATGAGGAAACTGAAACTCAGAAATATTAAGTGATATGTGCAAAGTTGCCCATCATGTGCAGGGTGGAGGGAAGATTGTGGAGCCAGGTGGCCAGAGCCCAGAATCAGAAGTCTTAACCCCAAGCTCTTCTCTGTCAGGGGCAGACTCTCTAATTTGATAGTTTGGGGCAGGTGCAGCCTGTTAATGGGCCCAGGCACTGCCTGTATTCACACATGCTGAACTGTCAGGATCCTGAAGCCCTGTTCCTACTCCCATTACTCAATAGGGCCCTCATTCATTTATTAGGTTGACAATTATTTATTGAACACCTACTGTGTGCCAGATCCTATCCTAGGCACCAAGGATGCATTGGTGAACAAAAGCGGACCCGGTGCCTGCTCTCATGGAGCATATATACCAATGGAAAAGAATCAAACAAATATGTGTCCAGTTACAAATTGTGATACACGCCAAGAAGGAAAACGACAGCGGATTCTAAGGCAGAACAACAGCGGGGGCATAACTTAGACCAGGGGTGTGGGGGCGAGGAGCAGCGGGCGGGAAGACCTTGTGGAGATGACTTTTATATACGAACATAACCAATCAATCAGCCAGTTGATTAACCCAGACCAGAGAGGTGGTCAAGTTCCACATGCTATGATTTCCAGAGTAAAGAGGTTTCCATTCGGCTTTCCTCTCCATCAAGGAAAAGTGCTGTTGTCTACGGCCGTTTTGCCATTTGCCTTGAGACTCCAGGTCCCGGTGATCTCAGAGTACAAGTGAGGGAAAATATAATCTGACTTGGTTTTTTGGATAAAACAAGAAGTGCTGGGTCCCCCCTCGCCCAGATCGGCGCCGGCCCCTGCCTCCCCACCCGCCCTCAGAAGTGCGGTGCTCTGTCGCCACCTGGTGGATGTAACAGACCACGCACGGGGTCGCCCGGCCTCCCGGGTCTGGGGTAGGATACGGAAAGCGGCTTCCTTCGGGCGGAGGCTGAAAAGGAGGCAGTGGGTTTGGATGACTTCCTGGCAGGGGGCGGGGATGGGGAGAAGGAGCGAGGGTGGATGGAGAACTGCTGCTTGAAAGTCAACTGACTGGAGACCGACAATGGCCCCATTGTGTCCGGAGCCTTGACCTTGATTTCCTGCCACTGTCGTCTCCCGGCGTGGCATCACCCGGGGCTGATTGGCCCGGAGTCCGTTCCGTGACAGTGGGCGGGCCCCGGGCTTGGATGGCGAGCACTGGGCTCCCCCGGGGGCTGAGACACGCGACTGGCCCTGTCCCCCCAGGAATCCCAGGGAAGGCGGGTGGGGCAATGGGCCGACGCCTCTCAGAAGTCATTTCCTCCTTGCTGCCCACAGTCAGGAGTTTGGGGCAAGAACTCGGGACTTTCTTTGAAAAGCAGTGCTACCTTATGGTTAGGAACTGGGATCTGCAGTCTGAAAGACCCAACTCCAAATTAGGGGATCCCTGGACACAGCCTTTAAAACCACCCACTCTTTTCTTTTCTTCTTTCTTTCTTTCTTCCTTCCTTCCTACCTCTCTTTCTTTCTTTCTTTCTTTTTTTCTTTCTTTTTCCATTCTCTTCCCTTCCTTCCTTCCTTCTTTCTTTCTTAGCACATACTGGGATACACATTCCCTTTGTAAAAAATATTACACAATACAATAAAAAGTTACAGCTCCCAACCTTTGTCACACACACACACACACACACCCTCAGGTAATTGCTACTGTTAGATTGATGTGTGTCCTTCCTGACCTCATTCAATGAATTTACATGAGTCTGTACATATGAAAATATATGATTCCTTGTATGTACTCTCCGGGCCTCAGTTTCCTAATCTGAAAAATGGGAATGAAAATAATAGTGCTTAATTCTGAAAAGTTACTGAGAATGTTACCTGAGATAATTCATGTGGAGCGCTTGGCTCGGCACCTGGCACACAGCAACTGTGACTATTGTTGTCATCATTCACCATCATTATTATCATTATCATTGGGACCCAGACCCAATTCTAAGGTCTGGATAGAAGCCCTGTCTTCCTCCACAGCCTGCTCTTCCCCCTCCCCCTTCTCCCTCCTAACAGCCTGTGATAAAAATCTGTGTTCCCTAATGCCTGTGTTTTTTAAAAACTAGAAAGAGCATCTGGTGTTTTCTGCATGTTCTCTCCTCCCCTTCCCTTCCTTCACCCCACCCGCCCCTTCCCTTCCATATTTGACCTAGATGTGACCGCTCACCCCACCGCAGAGAGAACATTCCATTCTGTGTCAGAAGAAGAGTTTCATGGCCCATACGATGCTGTTGGACCCACAGTGTTTGTACATAAAGGCTGTCTGCTGGGTAGGGGTAGGGCTAATGGCTGAAAGGGGGCAGGGTGGGGGGCGGCACGCTTTGTGAAAGAGCACATAGTAAAGCAGGTAAGTAAGCAGTAGGGTCGGCTGTTAGAGCATCCCAGGGTGTGGCCAAGGGCAAGTCATTTCACCTGTCTGAGCCTCAGTTATCTCACCTGTGCAATGGGGCTACTAACAATAGCCACCACATTCAAGTGCTATGAGGATAACAGGGAACCTGTGAAGGGACTTGGTACTGAGAAAGCCAAATAGTAGTTATGTTGGAAAACTCAGTGTCATGTTTGTTTAGCATTTTATGTTTGCAAAGAGAATTTCTAACTTCTTTTTTTCTTTTTAATATGAACTAGTTTTTGCTGCCTGGAGAAGGAAGTTTGGTTTGGATTTACAAGTCTCAGGAGAAAGGCAAATGCCTTTTCCTGGGCCTCTGTTGAAGCAGCCAGGTGCCACTTCCTGGAGCTGTTGCTGGTCCCTAACATAGCCACAGAGAGCATCAGGATACAGGACACCGAAGGACCTCACTGTTCCAGAGCATGTAGCAGGAAATACGTCAAATCCATGTGAGTAAGACAAGGCCAAATCACCCATTCCACAAACAGTCATGGAGCAGCTGCTTCATGCCCAGCCTGTACTACAGAGCCCTGCACAGCTGAGGGTCCCTGGAATACAGGGTTTTTTTTGGCGGGCTTGGTGGGGGGAACTTACTGCACATACAAGCTAATATTCAGTGCTTATTAGATGCCGAGTGTGTTATAAGGACAACAAACAAGTCTTAGATAAGATCTTTGTCCCCCTATAGCTTGTGTTTTATTGTAATTTTTAAAAACTTTATTGAAGTATAGTTGATTTACAATGTCATGTTAATTTCTTCTGTACAGCAAAGTGACTCAGTTATACATACATACATACGTATATATATTCTTTTTCATGTTCTTTTCCATTAGGGTTTGTCACAGGATATTGAATATAGTTCCCTGTGCTATACAGTAGGACCTTGTTGTTTATCCACCCTATATATAATAGTTTGCCTCTGCTAATCCCAAACTCCCCATCCTTCCCTCCCCTACCCTGCCTCCCCCTTGGCAACCACAAATCTGTTCTCTATATCTGTGAGTCTGTTTTTGTTTCATAGATATATTGATTTGTGTCATATTTTAGATTCCACATATAAGTGAAATCATATGGTATTTGTCTTTCTCTTTCTGACTTACTTTGCTTAGTATGATAATCTCTGGGTCCATCCATGTTGCTGCAAATGGCATTATTTCATTCTTTTTGATAGCTGAGTAGTACTCCATTGTATATATGTACTACATCTTCATTATCCATTCATCTGTCGATGGACATTTAGGTTGTTTCCATGTATTTGCTATTGTAAAGAGTGCTGCTTTGAATATAGGGATGCATGTGTCATTTTGAATTAGAGTTTTGTCTGGATATATGCCCAGGAGTGGGATTGCTGGATCATATGGCATCTTTACTTTTAGTTTTTTTGAGGAACCTCCATACTGTTTTCCATAGTGGCTGCACCAATTTACATTCCCACCAACAGTGTAACAGGGTTCCCTTTGCTCCACACCCTCTCCAGCATTTGTTATTTGTAGACTCTTTAATGATGGCCATTCTCGCTGGTGTGAGGTAGTTCCTCATTGTAGTTTTGATTTATATTTCTCAAATAATTAGTGATGTTGAGCATCTTTTCATGTGCTTATTGGCCATCTGTATGTCTTCTTTGGAGAAATGTTTATTTAGGTCCTCTGCCCATTTTTTGATTGGGTTGTTTGTGTCCTCTTGCTGTTGAGTTGTATGAGCTGTTTGTATATTTTGGAAATTAAGCCCTTGTTGAGCGCAACATTTGCAAATATTTTCCCCCAGTCTGTAGGTTGTCTTTTCATTTTTTTCTTATGGTTTCCTTTGCTGTGCAAAAGCTTATAAGTTTGATTAGGTCCCGCTTGTTTATTTTTGCTTTTATTTCTATTGCCTTGGGAGACTGGCCTAAGAAAACACTGGTACGATTTATGTCAGAGAATGTTTTGCCTATGTTCTCTTCTAGGAGTTTTAAGGTGTCTGGTCTTATATTTAGGTCTTTAGTAGCTTGTGTTTTAATGGTTCTTCTATACATGTTACTTTCCTCTGCTTTTTTGGGGGGTGTTAGATGCACATTAAAATTTATCTTTTTGAGTGTACAGTTCTGTGAGTTTCAACAAACACAGACATGTAACCACCATCACAATCAAAATATAGAATGTGTCCCCCTGCCAAATTTTCCTCTTGCTCTTTAGTGATAAATAAGACCTCTCCCCCAACCCCAGCCACTGGAAACCACTGATCTGATTTTGTCCTTATAGTTTTGCCTTTTCCAAAATGGATTCTTACATTATGTAGCCTTGAGTCCGCTTCTTTCTTTTACCTTAATGCTTTTGAGATTCACCCACATTGTTGTACATATCAGCAGTTTGTCCCTTTTCTCTTTAACTTTTCATTCTAAAATGTTTCCAATATAAATTTAAAAGAATAATAGTGTGGGAATTCCCTGGCAGTCCAGTGGTTAGGACTCAGTGCTTTCACTACTGTGGCCTGGGTTCAATCCCTGGTCAGGGAACTAAGATCCCACAAGCCACACAGCCAAAATAATAATAATAATAATAGAGTGAATACCTTTAAATCTACCACCTAGATTCAATAATTGTTTGCATTTTGCTATATTTTAAAATAACATCTATAACAGGCATATATTTGCTGAACCATTGGAAAGTAAGTTGTAGGCACTGACACTTCACCTCTAAAACTTCAACACATATCACCTAAGAATGAGTGATGACCATACGTTATCACACCTAAGAAAGGTGACAATAAATTCCCAAGTGTCATCTACTATTCATCCATTTGCAAATTTCCCAAATTTCAAAAAAGACTTTTATAGTTTTTATCCACTTGCTAGAGGGGTTTTTTTTGTTTGTTTGTTTGTTTTTGGCCGAGCCCGGCAGCTTGTAGGATCTTAGCTCCCCAACCAGGGATGGAATCCTGAGGCCCCAGCAGTGAGAGTGCCAAGTCTAATCACTGGGCTTCCAGGGAATTCCCAACTAGAGTTTTATTTCTAAACTTTTAGTTTTGAAATAGTTATAGACTCATAGGACGTTGCAAAAATAAAAGAGTCTCATGTACCCTTTAACCATCTTCCCATAAAAATGACATCTTACATTGAGCTGTAGTAAAATATCGAAACTAGGACACTTGCAGTGGTATATTACTGTTAACTAGACAACAGAACTTATTCAGTTTTCACCAATTTTTTTTTTTTTTTTATGGTACGCAGGCCTCTCACTGTTGTGGCCTCTCCCATTGCGGAGCACAGGCTCCGGACGCTCAGGCTCAGCAGCCATGACTTACGGGCCTAGCCACTCTGCGGCATGTGGGATCTTCCTGGACCGGGGCATGAACCCGTGTCCCCTGCATCAGCAGGTGGACTCTCAACCACTGCGCCACCAGGGAAGCCCTACCAATTTTTAACCTGCATTCATTCGTGTGTGTGTGGGAGTGTATGTTTAGTTCTATGCACTTAAATCCCAAGTAGAGATTCTTGTAACTACCACCATGGTCAAGATTGTTACTGTTGAGCAGAAGCAAGAAGAACTACAGTCCTGCAGCCTGTGGAACGAAAACCACATTCACAGAAAGATAGACAAAATGAAAAGGCAGAGGACAATGTACCAGATGAAGGAACAAGATAAAACCCCAGAAAAACAACTAAATGAACTGGAGATAGACAACATCCCAGAAAAAGAATTCAGAATAATGATAGTGAAGATCCAGGACCTCAGAAAAAGAATGGAGGCAAAGATCGAGAAGATGCAAGAAATGTTTAACAGGGCTTCCCTGGTGGCACAGTGGTTAAGAATCTGCCTGCCAATGCAGGAGACATGGGTTTGAGCCCTGGTACAGGAAGATCCCACATGCCACAGACAACTAAGCCCATGCGCCACAACTACTAAGCCTGCACCCTACAGCCCGTAAGCCACAACTACTGAGCCCACATGCCACAACTACTGAAGCCCATGCGCCTAGAGCCCATGCTCCGCAACAAGAGAAGCCACTGCAATAAGAAGCCTGTGCACCACAATGAAGAGTAGTCCCTGCTTGCCACAGCTAGAGAAAAGCCCGTGTGCAGCAGCAAAGACCCAATGCAACCAAAAATAAATAAATAAATTTATTTTTTAAAAAAGAGAAATGTTGAACAAAGACCTAGAAGAATTAAAGAACTAACACCTACAAGAATTAAAGAACAAACAAACAGAGATGAACAATACAATAACTGAAATAAAAAATACACTAGAAGGAAGCAATAGCAGAATAACTGAGGCAGAAGAACAGATAAGTGACCTGGAAGACAGAATGGTGAAATTCACTGCCATGGAACAGAATAAAGAAAAAAGAATGAAAAGAAGTGAAGACAGCCTAAGAGACCTCTGGGACAACATTAAACACACCAACATTCACATTATAGGGGTCCCAGAAGGAGAAGAGAGAGAGAAAGGACCCAAGAAAATATTTGAAGAGATTATGGTCAAAAACTTGCTAACATGGGGAGAGAAATAGCCACCCAAGTCCAGGAAGCACAGAGAGTCCCAGGCAGGATAAACCCAAGGAGAAACACGCTGAGACACATAGTAATCAAATTGACAAAAATGAAAGACAGAAAAAGTATTAAAAGCAACAAAACGAAACAACAAATAACATACAAGGGAACTACCGTAAGGTTAACAACTGATTTCTCAGCAGAAACTCTACAAGCCAGAAGGGAGTGGCATGATATATTTAAAGTGATGAAAGGGAAGAGCCTACAACCAAGATTATTCTACCCGGCAAGGATCTCATTCACATTTGATGGAGAAATCAAAAGCTTTACAGACAAGAAAAAGCTAAGAGAATTCAGCACCACCAAACCAGCTCTACAACAAAAGCTAAAGGAACTCTTCTAAGTGGGAAACACAAGAGAAGAAAAGGACCTACAAAAACAAACCCAAAACAATTAAGAAAATGGTAATAGGAACATACATATCGATAATTACCTTAAATGTGAATGGATTAGATGCTCCAACCAAAAGACACAGTCTTGCTGAATGGATACAAAAAACAAGACCCATATATATGCTGTCTACAAGAGACCCACTTCAGACCTAGGGACACATACAGACTGAAAGTGAGGGGATGGAAAAATGTATTCCATGCAAATGGAAATCAAAAGAAAGCTGGAGTAGCAATACTCATATCGGATAAAATAGGCTTTAAAATAAAGAATGTTACAAGAGACAAGGAAGGACACTACATAATGATCAAGGGATCAATCCAAGAAGAAGATGTAACAATTATAAATATATATGCACCCAACATAGGAGCACCTCAATACATAAGGCAAATGCTAACAGCTATAAAGAGGAAATCGTCAGTAACACAATAATAGTGGGGGACTTTAACACCTCACTTACACCAATGGACAGATCATCCAGACAGAAAATTAATAAGGAAACACAAGCTTTAAATGGCACAATAGACCAGATGGATTTAATTGATATTTATAGGACATTCCAACTGAAAAAAGCAGAATACACTTTCTTCTCAAGTACACACGGAACATTCTCCAGGATAGATCACATCTTGGGTCACAAATCAAGCCTTGGTAAATTTAAGAAAATTGAAATCATATCAAGCATCTTTTCCAACCACACTATGAGATTAGAAATCAATTAAAGGGAAAAAACGTAAAAAACACAAACACATGGAGGCTAAGTAATACGTTACTAAATAACCAAGAGATCACTGAAGAAATCAAAGAGGAAATCAAAAAGTACCTAGAGACAAATTACAATGAAAACACGATGATCCAAAACCTATGGGGTGCAGCAAAAGCAGTTCTAAGAGGGAAGTTTATAACAATACAAGCCTACCTCAAGAAACAAGAAAAATCTCAAATAAACAATCTAACCTTATACCTAAAGGAACTAGAGAAAGAAGAACAAACGAAACCCAAAGTTAGTAGAAGGAAAGAAATCATAAAGATCAGAGCAGAAATAAATGAAATAGACACAAAACAATAGCAAAGATCCATAAAACTAAAAGCTGGTTCTTTGAGAAGATAAACAAAATTGATACACCTTTAGCCAGGTTCATCAAGAAAAAGAGGGAGAGGACTCAAATCAATAAAATTAGAAATGAAAAAGGACAGGTTACAATGGATGTGGCAGAAATATAAAGCAACCTAAGAGACTACTACAAGCAACTCTATGCCGATAAAATCGACAACCTGGTAGAAATGGACAAATTCTTAGAAAGGTATAAGCTTCCAAGACTGAACCAGGAAGAAATAGAAAATATAAACAGACCAATCACAAGTAATGAAATTGAAACTGTGATTAAAAATCTTCCAACAAACAAAAGTCCAGGACCAGGTTGCTTCACAGGTGAATTCTATCAAACATTTAGAGAAGAGCTAACACCTATCCTTCTCAAACTCTTCCAAAAAGTTGCAGAGGCAGGAACACTCCCAAACTCATTCTATGAGGCCACCATCACCCTGACACCAAAACCAGACAAAGATAGTACAAAAAAAGAAAATTACAGACCAATATCACTGATGAATATAGATGCAAAAATCCTCAACAAGGGTCTTCCCTGGTGGCGCAGTGGTTGAGAGTCCGGCTGCTGATGCAGGGGACACGGGTTTGTGCCCCGGTCTGGGAAGATCCCACGTGCCACGGAGCGGCTAGGCTCGTGAGCCGTGGCCGCTGAACCTGTGCGTCCAGAGTCTGTGCTCCACAACGGGAGAGGCCACAACAGTGAGAGGCCCACGTACCACAGAAAAAAAAATATCCTCAACAAAATATTAGCAAACAGAATCCAACAACACATTAAAAGGATCATACACAATGATCAAGTGGGATTTATCCCAGGGATGCAAGGATTCTTCAATATATGTAAATCAATCAATGTGATACACCATATTAACAAACTGAAGAATAAAAACCATATGATCATCTCAATAGATGCAGAAAAAGCTTTTGACAAAATTCAACACCCATTTATGATAAAAACTCTCCAGAAAGTGGGCATAGAGGGAACCTACCTCAACATAATAAAGGCCATATACAACAAACCCACAGCAAACATCATTCTCAATGGTGAAAAACTGAAAGCATTTCCTCTAAGATCAGGAACAAGACAAGGATGTCTACTCTCGCCACTATTATCAACATAGTTTTGGAAGTCCTAGCTACAGCAATCAGAGAAGAAAAAGAAATAAAAGGAATACAAATTGGAAAAAAAGTAAAACTGTCACTGTTTGCAGATGACATGACACTATACATAGAGAATCCTAAAGATGCCACCAGAAAACTACTAGAGCTAATCAATGAATTTGGTAAAGTTGCAGGATACAAAATTAATGCACAGAAATCTCTTGCATTCCTATACACTAACAACGAAAGATTAGAAACAGAAATTAAGGAAACAATCCCATTCACCATTGCAACAAAAAGAATAAAATACCTAGGAATAAACCTACCTAAGGAGACAAAATTCCTATATGCAGAAAACTATAAGACACTGATGAAGAAATCAAAGATGACACAAACAGATGGAGAGATATACCATGTTCTTGAATTGGAAGAATCAATATTGTGAAAATGACTATACTACCCAAAGCAATCTACAGATTCAATGCAATCCTTATCAAATTACCAGTGGCATTTTTTATGGAACTAGAACAAAAAATCTTTAAAATTTGTATGGAGACACAAAAGCCCCCGAAGAGCCAAAGCAGTCTTGAGGAAAACAACAGAGCTGGAGGAATCAGACTCCCTGCCTTCAGACTACACTACAAAGCTACAGTAATCAAGACAATATGGTACTGGCACAAAAACAGAAATATAGATCAACGGAACAGGATAGAAAGCCCATAGATAAACCCACACACCTATGGTCAACTAATCTATGACAAAGGAGGCAAGGATATACAGTGAAGAAAAGACAGTCTCTTCAATAAATGGTCCTGGGAAAACTGGACAGCTACATGTAAAAGAATGAAATTAGAACACTCCCTAACACCATACACAAAAATAAACTCAAAATGGATTAAAGACCTAAATGTAAGACCGGACACTATAAAACTCTTAGAGGAAAACATAGGAAGAACACTCTTTGACATAAATCACAGCAAGATCTTTTTTGACCCACCTCCTAGAGTAATGGAAATAAAAACAAAAATAAACAAATGGGACCCAATGAAACTTAAAAGCTTTCGCACAGCAAAGGAAACTATAAACAAGACGAAAAGACAACCCTCAGAATGGGAGAAAATATTTGCAAATGAACCAACAGACAAAGGATTAATCTCCAAAATATATAAACAGCTCATGCAGCTCAATATTAAAAAAAACAAACAACCCAGGCTTCCCTGGTGGCGCAGTGGTTGACAGTCCGCCTGCCGATGCAGGGGACGCGGGTTCGTGCCCTGGTCCGGGAGGATCCTGCATGCCGCAGAGCAGCTGGGCCCATGAGCCGTGGCCACCGAGCCTGTGCGTCCGGAGCCTGTGCTCCGCAATGGGAGAGGCCACGGCAGTGAGAGACCTGCGTACCGCAAAAAAAACCCCAAAAAAACCCAATCAAAAAATGGGCAGAGGACCTAAATAAACATTTCTCCAAAGAAGACATATAGATGGCCAAGAGGCACATGAAAAGCTGCTCAACATCACTAATTATTAGAGAAATACAAATCAAAACTACAATGAGGTATCACCTTACACTGGTTAGAATGGGCATCATCAGAAAATCTACAAACAACAAATGCTGGAGAGGGTGTGGAGAAAAGGGAACCCTCTTGCACTGTTGGTGGGAATGTAAATTGATACAGCTACTATGAAGAACAGCATGGAGGTTCCTTAAAAAACTAAAAATAGAATTACCATATGACCCAGCAATCCCACTACTGGGCATATACCCAGAGAAAACCATAATTCAAAAGGACACATACACCACACTGTTCATTGCAGCACTATTTACAATGGCCAGGACATGGAAGCAACCTAAATGCCCATTGACAGACGAATGGATAAAGAAGATGTGGTACATATATACAATGGAATATTACTCAACCATAAAAAGGAATGAAATTGGGTCATTTGTAGAGACGTGGATGGACCTAGAGACTGTCATACAGAGTGAAGTAAGTCAGAAAGAGGAAAACAAATATATATTAATGCATATATGTTGGATCTAGAAAAACGGTACAGATGAACCAGTTTGCAGGGCAGAAATAGAGACAGAGATGTAGAGAACAAACATATGGACACTAAGGGAGGAAAGCAGGGTTGGGGTGGTGGTGGTGGTCGGACGAATTGAGAGATTAGGATTGACATGTATACACTAATATGTATAAAATAGATAACTAATAAGAACCTGCTGTATAAAAATAAATAAATTAAATTTTTAAAAAAGATTGATAAGTGTTACATTACAACTGTTAACATCACTAGGAGGAACTCTCTAGTGCTACCTCTTTGTAGTGAAACCCACTCCCACTTCATGCCTCTCTGGTCCTCCTCCCTGACCCCTGGAAACTACTAATCTGTTCTCCATCTCTATAGTTTTGTCATTTTGAGAATGTTGTATAAATGAAATCATACAGCATGCAACCTTTTGAGATTGAATTTTTTCACTAATAAGCGTAAGGTTCTTGAGCTTCCTCCAGGTTGTTGCATGTATGATCGGTAGTTTGTCCTTTTCTATTGTTAAGTAGTATTCTTACATGGATGTGCCACTGTTTAGCCATCCACCAGTTGAAGGATATTTGAATTTATTTCCAGTGTTTGGTGATTATGAATCAAGTTACTGTGAACATCTGTGCAACAGGTTTGTGTGAGAACATAAGCTTCACTTCACTTGGGTAAATACCTAAGAGTGGTATTGTTGGGTTGCATGGTTAAGTGTAAATTTATTTATTTATTTATTTATTTTTGCAGTACGCAGGGCTCTCACTGTTGTGGCCTCTCCCGTTGCGGAGCACAGGCTCCAGACATGCAGACTCCGCGGCACGTGGGATCTTCCCAGACCGCGGCACGAACCCGTGTCCCCTGCATCGGCAGGCGGACTCTCAACCACTGCGCCACCAGGGAAGCCCACATGGTAAGTGTAAATTTATGTGAAATGGCTAAACTGTTTTGCCAGCTGGCTCTACCATTTTGCATTCCCACCAGCATTGTATGAGAGTTACGGTTGCTCTGCATTCCTGCCAGCACTGGGTATTATCACTTTTTTATAAAAATGTCAGCCATTCTAATACATGTGTAATACTACCCCACATAACTCTTAAACCGTAAGTAAGACCGTGTCACGACCCTTCTTAAAATATGCTTCACATCACACTCAGAATAAAATTCAAGCTCATTTCTGAGGCCTGCCAGACCCTCTCTCCTGACCTCTGGGTCTCACTCGGCTCCAGCCGCAGCAACCTCCCTGTTGTTTCTCTGACACCCTAAGCTTGTTCCGCTGGAATGTTCTTACCCTCAGTATCCAGGTGACTCAGTTTCTCGCTCCATTTACTCTCTGTCTAATATCAGCTTCTCAGAGGCCTACCCTGATGGTCCAAATGAGCCCCATCCCTCCACTCAGCTCACAATTCTCCTACCCTGTTTTATTTTTCTTCAAGGCACTCATCTCTGCTTGATACAATACTGTGTCAATTACTGAACTGTTTACTGTCTGTCTCCCCCATAAGGACAGGGATTGGCTTTTTGATGACTGTTTCCAGTGCTTAACCCAGTGCTTGGCACATAGGAGACACTCAATAAATATTTGTTTAATGAATGTGTATCGGAGACCTCTTGTGACCCTCCTCCCATCCTGGCCCACCTTTTACTCAGCCGTCGCCGTGGCAACCAGTTTTGGGGCAGGTAAAAGCCCTCTGGGTTAGCTGCTCCCCACAGGTCTTGCCTTCTGCCCAGGCTTGTGTCTGGACTCAAGCACTGTGGCTTGGAAGTGTGAGGAACTTAACCCTACTGGGGCAACCCTGGACCCACAGATATATGCTTGCTTCTCTGATGCTCGGTGGACAGTTCTGAGGTGCCCTCCGTGTTGCTCCTCAGCAGATCCTCCCCACCGGATTGAGCCCCACTTGCCCACAGTGGTGACCAACTCCGCAACACACCGTTGTCCTGCTTTCCTTCTTTCCAGTCCCCCTCTCCCCACGGCCCTACTCCTGTTCCCAGGGGCCTGGTACATAATAAATATTTATTAAGCGAATAAGGTAATTACTAGCAACACACATGCACACACACACACACACAAAAGAAAAGAAAAAAGAAAATGTGTGTCCACACAAAGGCTTGTCATGAATTGTCATAGCAGGTTTATTTATTTTATTTTAGATTTTCTTAAATTGAAGTATAGTTGATTTACAGTGTCATCTTAGTTTCTGGTATATAGCAAAGTGATTCATAGATAGATAGATAGATAGATAGAGATATTCTTTTTTCAGATCCTTTTCCATTATAGTTTATTACAAGGTATTGAATATAGTTCTCTGTGCTATACAGTAGGACCTTGTTGTTTATCTCTTTTATATATAGTAGTTTGTATCTGCTAATCCCAAACTGCTTATTTATTCCTCTGCCACCCTTTTCCCCTTTGGTACCATAAGTTTGTTTTCTTTTTTTTTAATTTATTAATTTATTTTATTTATTTATTTTTGGCTGTGTTGGGTCTTCCTTGTTGCGTGCGCACTTTCTCTAGCTGCGGCAAGCAGGGTCTACTCTTCGTTGCAGTGCGTGGGCTTCTCAGTGCATTGGCTGAGCACGGGCTCTAGGCACACGGGCTTCAGTAGTTGTGGCTCGTGGGCTCTAGAGTGCAGGCTCAGTAGCTGTGGCGCACGGGCTTTGTTGCTCCGCAGCATGTGGGAACTTCCCGGACCAGGGCTTGAACCCTTGTCCCCTGCATTGGCAGGCGGATTCTTAACCACTGCGCCACCAGGGAAGCCCATAAGTTTGTTTTCTATGTCTGTAAGTCAAAGCAGCATTATTCATAATAGCCCAAAACTGGAAATGGCCCAGGTGTCCATCAACAAGCAAATAGATAAATTGTGGTATATTCATACAATAGCTTACTACTCAGTAATAAAAAGAAACAAATGCTGATAAATGCTACAACATGAATGGACCTCCAGAACATTATGCTGAGTGAAAGAGGCCAGACAGGAGAGTACATACTGGATGATTATATTTACACTGTTTTTTTTGTTTTGTTTTTGGCTGCACTGCGTGGCTTGTGGGATCTCAGTTCCCTGGCCAGAGATTGAACCCAGGCCACAGCAGTGAAAGCGCCAGATTCTAACCACTAGACCACCAGGGAAATTCCTGGATGATTACATTTAAATGAAGTTCTAGAACAAGCAAAATGAAGCTATGGGAACAGAAAGCAGAGCTGAGATTGACTGGGGCTGGCCATGGGGAGGGAGGATATTGACTGGAAAGAGGACTCAGGAAAATTGTACAGATTATGGAAATATTCCATATCTTTCGTAGAGTGGTGGATACTTGGGTATTTGTCAAAACTCACATAACTGTACACCTTAAACATGTGCATTCTATTGTATGCAGATTATACCTCAATAAGGCTGATTTTTAAAGTGAATTAACTATAAATGCTATGAAGGGAAGAAAATATGGTATGTAAGGGGGAAGGAAGATTACTTTTGATTGGTTGGCCAAGTGATTCTTGAGGAGGTGACATTTGAACAGAGATTTGAATGTCAAGAGGGAGACAGCCATGGAAAGATCTAGGGGAGGCCATTCCAGAAAAAGGTCAATGCGGGAACAAAGACCCAGAACAGGAAGGAGTTTGGTAATCTTGGGGCCAGTCTGAAGGCCAGTGTGACTAAGTGAAATGGGTAGGGCAGAGAGGGGTACGAGACAGGGTGGAGAGTTGGGCGGAAGCCAGATCACGTACGACCTTATCAGCCCCAATAAAGGTGTGGAATTTGAAATGAATAAAATGCAAATCCCTCATGGGTCTAGTGGAGCAGAAACACATAAGCAAATAAAGGCAAATACAGGGTCATGGGTGATATTTTGGGGACGTGTACAGTGAAAGAGGAGGGAGTAGTCAGCGCTACCTGGGAACATCTGGGAAGGCTTCCCAGAGGAGGTGACGTTTCAGCCAAGATTTGAAGGAAGAGTAGAAGAGGAGAAAGGGTATTCCAGTGGAGGGTGCTGTGTCTAGAGTAGCCCAGAGGTGAGCAGCTCCATGGAACATTCAAAGACCTAAGCATAACATAGGTCTTGTTGGAGTTTTGCCTCTAGGGGAGTGGCAGGAGATCTGAGGTTGAAGGGAAAGGCTTTTAAATGCCTCATCAAGGACTTCCCTGCCGGTCCATTGGTTAAGACTCTGAATTTCCACTGCAGGGGGCAAGAGTTCGATCCCTGGTCAGGGAACTGAGATCCCACATGCCGTGAGGTGCGGCCAAAATACATAAATAAACGCCTCATCAGACTTGATCCTGCAGGGGATGGGAAACCCCTAGAGAATTTTAAGTAAGAGAGTATTAGGGCCAAGTTTATATTTCAGATCAAGACCTCCAGATTGGGCACATGGAGAGCAAGACTGCTGGTTCTGGTGTGAAATCACGGGGAAGGCCTGAACAAGGACCGGTGGGGCAAGGAGAAGGGCCAAACTCTGCTACAAGGTAATCAGGGCTATCCTGAACTCAGGGAAGTTCAGGTCTCTGGCTTGAAGGCCTGGCTTCCCTGCCGGACGGTGGTCCAGTTAAGCCAGACACACGAGGAGAGACAGGTTGAGGAAAACATCTACAGAGTTTGAGGTACCAGAGGGCCATAAATGCTAACTTTTATGGGCTCTGCTCCCTCAGAGGGCTTGTTACTTGAAGATTCCTAGGCCCTTGCTCCAGTGATTTGGAAGCAGTGGGTCTAGGATGGAGCCCAGGAAACTGCATGTGTACACAGTGCCCCTCCCACTCTGAGGCAGGTGGACTCCACACCTACAGAGCTGTCAATGTGACCTCACCAGGGAGGGGCCTGGAGCAGGAGGTGGACGACAGGCACACTCTCATCTGGACTGTGGTCAAAGCAGCCAGAAATTCAGGCAAAGGTGGTGTCCAAAATAAGGCTCTAGGGGTAGTGGGTGCAAAGGTTGCCCCTGCTGCAGCTACAGAGTTGCACTAGAGAGAAACAACAAGGTTCTACTGTATAGCACAGGGGACTGTATTCAATATCCTATGATAAGCCATAATGGAAAAGAATATGAAAAAGAATATATATATGTATAACTGAGTCACTTTGCTGTAGAGCAGAAATTAAACACAATATTAGAAATCAACTATCCTTCAATAAAATTTAAAAAAAAAAAAGAATTGCACTAGAGTGGCCCTGGTCATCATGTGTAACTCCTTCACCTCACCAAGGAGCCACAGAAATTAGTGGTAGGGCCAAGATGAAGCAGATACCTTTTAACTTGTTCCCTCTCCGAGGGTGTGGATGGAGGGTAGCCATGGTGAGGATACATGGAGGCTTCAGTGACCTGGAGATGTGCTCTGTGCAAAGAGAGCAGCTTTTGTGCGCATCAGTTTACCCTTGCGACATCTCTATGTGCCTGGGCCTATTATTATTTCCACTTAACAGATGAGAAAACTGAGGCCCAAAAACATTTAGTAAAATGTTCTGGGCTCCAAGATGAGTATGTAGGGGAACTGGGGCTGGAATGCAGGTCTCTGGACACTCCTAATCATAGCATTACCCTGCCTCCCTGAGTGGGAGAAGTCACTTCACCTCTTAAGTCAGGGGTCCCCAAACCCAGGGCCGTGGACCGGTTTCAGTCCGTGGCCTGTTAGGAACTGGGCCACACAGCAGGAGGTGAGTGGTAGACGACAAGCGAAGCTTCATCTGTATTTACAGCTGCTCCCCATGGCTCACATTACTGCCTGAGCTCCGCCTCCTGTCAGCATTATGGTGAGTTGTATAATTATTTCATTATATATTACAATGTAATAATAATAGAAATAAAGTGCACAATAAATATAATGTGCTTGAATCATCCCGAAGCCAT